AGTTAACCCATATCTCTCACCCTGCACAAAAATTAACTCAAAGTGGATCAAAGACCTAGGGATTAGAACAGAAATCCTGCATATACTAGAAAAAAATGTAGGCTCAGCACTTGAATATATTGGGTCAGGAACTGACTTTCTTAAGACTCCTAAAAGCGCCAGAAGTAAAATCAAGAATCAATAAATGGGATTTTACCTAACTAAAAAGCTTCTTGACAGCAAAGGAAACAATTAAGAGTATGAAGAGAGAGTCTACAGAATGGGAGAAAATCTTTACCACCTGCACCTCAGATAGGGCATTAATTTCCAGAATATACAAAGAACACAAGAAACTTAACACCAAAAAAGTAAATAACCCAATCAATAAGTGGACAAAGGAAATGAACAGACCCTTCTTAAAAGAAGAAATACAGATGGTCAACAAATGTATGAAAACATCTTTAGCAATTAGAGAAATGCAAACCAAAACTACACTTGAGATTTTTATCTCACTCCAGTCAGAATGACAACTATCAAGAATACAAGCAACAATGTTGGCAAGGATTTGGGGAAAAGGGTATGCACATAAATTATTGGTGGGACTGAAAATTGTTGCAACCAGTCTGGAAAGCAGCATGGAGATTCCTCAAAAAACTAGGAATGGAACCACCATTTGACTCAGTTATCCCACACCTTGGCATATATCCAAAGGAGTTAAAAATCAACATACTAMAGGGATGCAGCCATATCAATGTTTACAGCAGCTCAATTCACAATAGCTAAGCTATGGAACCAACCTATTTACCCATGAACAATGAATGAATAAAGAAATTATGGTGTATATAAACAATGAGATATTAATCAGCCATAAAAAAGAAAGACTTTATGACATTTGCTAGTAAATGGATGGATGTGGAGACTATCAYGCTAAATGAAATAGGCCAATCCCCCCCAAAATCAAAGGTTGAATGTTTTTGTTGATATGTGGAAGCTAAATCACAATAAAGGAGGGGGGAGGAGAAAAGTTTACTAGATTATACAAAAGGGAATGAAGGGAAGGGAGGGGGGATAGGAATAGGAAAGACAGTGGAATAAATCTGACATAATTTTTCTATGCACATATATAAAAAAACCTAAGTGAATCACATCATTGTGTACATCAATTTAAATAAAGATGAAAGATAACAAGTGCTAGGATATGCAGAGAAGGGAACTCTTATATACAATTGGTGGGAATGTAAATTATTATTTCCATTATGGAAAATAATTTAAATTTTCCTCAAAAAAAATAAAAAATAGAATCACCGTATAACCCAGCAATCCCACTTATGGATATGTATCCTAAGGAAATGAAATTAATAGGAAGTGATATCCCCAGGTCCACATTCATCACAGCACTATTCACAACTGCCAAGGCACATACTTAATCACCCTACATGTCCATTAGTTGATGAATGTACAAAGAAAATGTAGTATATATACATAATGGAATACTATCTGTACCTTTAAAAAGGAAGAAATTCTTCCATTTGCAATGATGGATAAAGTTTGAGGATACTGTGCTAAGTGAAATAAGCCAGGCACAAAAAAAAATTAACACCACCACATGATCTCACATCTGGAATCTTAAAAAAAGTCAAACTCATTGAAGAAGACAGTAGAGTGTTGGTTACTAGAGGCTGAAAGGAAAACAACAGGTAATGGAAAGTTGTTGGTCAAAGATACAAAAGTTTAGCTAGACAGGATAAGTTTTTGAGACCTGTTGTACAACTGGTGACTATAATCAATAATGTATAATATATTTGAAAATAGATGAGAGTAAATGACAAATGTCTATCACAAAAAAATGAAACAATATATGTTAATCAACTCAATTTAACATTCCACATTGCATACATATAGAACAGTACATACAATATAGCAGACACAGAAAGCATACAAACAATACTACATGATGAGTACAGCTGCATACATATGCAAAGAAGAAAGAATACATGGAAAAAATACACATGGAGTTCACATAATGGTAACATTAGAGAGGCCAGGGGAGTGGGATCATTAAAGATATACATGAGGAACGGGGTTGTAGCTCAATGGTAGAGCTTCTCACATGTAAGGCACTGGGTTCACTCCTCAGCAACACATAAAAATAAAGGTATTATGTCCATCTACAACTAAAAAAAATAAAATAAAAGATATATGTGAGACTGATTCTACCTACGATACATTGTTTTTTAATGTAGGTTGAGAGTAATTTGAGTACTTATTCTATTTAGTTTTCTGTGCCTGAAATGTTTTATAAGTTTTAAAATAGTCTTTCTGGAAACCAATCATTTGAGGATGGTTGAAGGAACTAAATATTGTGAGTATGATTGCTATTTTCAAATATTTGAAGGAACATCATGTATAAGGAAAAAAATATATTCTTCCTAATATATACGGACAGGCTCTTGTTCAGCAAGACAGGCACACATTACTACTATTGCTTCAAAGGACAAATGCAGGGAAAGTACAAGGAGCAGGGTAGAAGCTTCCTCTGGGCTTCCTATAGAGACATGTTTCAGAGCCAGAGGTAACAGGATGTGGAGCTGAGAGCAGGACTGTTTGGAGCCAGCCTCCTTGTTCAGATCTTGTCTCTGATCTTTGTAGGCAGTATGATTTGGGGTAAATTATTAACCTTTGTGTGCCTACAGCCAGACTGTAAAATGGGGATGATAATAATGGTGCCCGTCCTCACAGGGCTATGATGAAGATTAAAGGAACAGTGCATGGTACATAGCAAGTGTCTGTAAAGTGAATAAATACCCCGGCAGATAAAGTACCTTCCTTTTAAAGCAGCAAAATCTTCAAGACCTCATGTAAAAGCTGCATAGATCTCTTCTCTAAGGAAGATGAGAAGGTATCCTTCCCTTCTAGTCTAAATGAGTATCATATTTCAATCTGCACACAAATTACACCAAAATCTTGCTAAAATGCATGCTCTGAGTCAGAATGTCTGGGGTGGGGCCCAAGAGTCTTGATTTCTAACAGGGGAACTGATGCTCCACACCTGCAGTAGCAAAGCCCTAGAGGGACTTTTCCTATCTCCGTGCACCTTAATGTCAATGATGTTTAGTTCTTATCTCTCTGGATCATCATTTTGCCATGAATTCTAAATGTATATCTTTTCCAAAGATATACATTTAGCCCTTCACTTAACTAAAAATAACTTAAATACTAAATAGATTCAGAATTTATTAAAGGCTTGGGAGATTCTTTATATAAATGTGTATCTTTTCACAATGTACCTAGATTTTAAATATGAATTCTGCTTTTTATCACTTAAATTTTCTTAAAAGAGAAACACTTTAAAGTTAAAATAGTAAAATCTAGGGGAGGGAAGTTCCTTAGTATTTTGAAATTCACATTAATGTCTACATTTGATATGACAGAGAGAGAAATGTCACTGTAGATTCCCAAATAGAGTGAAGAAAGAAAAACTAGTTGGGGACAGGATAAATTGGAAAGAAGGAGAATGTCAAGCATTTAAGTGAAAACGATAAAGTGATCATTTTAAAAAGTTTGGAGGTATGGTTCTGAGAGATGTTGTAGTAGGTACCCCCTTTCTCCCCAAAAACAGTCTTAACTGGGCTTCTTCAGAAATCTTCACCATGGATGATTTTGGGACTGTCAGGAAAAAAAATCTCTACAAAAGAGTTTAATGTAGATAAACTTCCAATTTTCATGTTGCCCTGTTTTACTTGGCCACTGTCCGGGAAGAAATCCGCACTCCAGGTGCTGGACACCCCTTTACTAGTTTTTCACAAACATGTATCCAGTATAGTAGTTTGTAGAAATGTGTAAACAAAGCTTCTGGCCTTGAGCTGGAACTTGAAAAGATGTCTACATTTCTAAGATAAGAGAAGTTACCAATTGGGCTCCATGGTAACAGCTGGCAGGGGGAGGAAAGAAAGGGGGGAAGAAGCTCTCCCCTTCTCAGGTACTGCCCTTGAAGGATTAACTTTCCCAAAACAGTGAAAGAAAAAGCTGCTTTTATGTGAACTTCTGCTGACTGTGAACTTCTGAGCCCCTTCCCTTATATGCTGGGTATAAATTTCTGAAACTACCTGAACTCGGGGTTCATGGGATTGATTACAACAGAAGCTGTGCCCTCTGAACCTGGCTGCAATGCAGCCAAATAAAACTGTTTCCTACTGTCTTTGGTGCCTTGCCTCATCTGTCCCTACAACAATGTTAATGAGGAAGACCAGCAAGATTATCATTTTAGAATATGTTAGTTCAACAATAAGGTGAAGAGGCAATGGGCCTTCAGTATATCAGAAGCCTGGTGGAGCACACCACTCTGGCAGGGGCCAAACCCCTCTGAAACACACGCAATTGGACCTTCAGGTCCAGGCTGGAACATGACTAATATGACTATATTCTGAAACAGATCTTTGATATCATGATCCAGAACAGAAGCCCAGAGAACAGTATGCTACCCGGGGCTGGTTGAAGTGAGAGGTTCTGGTGATTTGATCTGAATTATTCTCAGGCTTTCTTTCCTTTAGGGACTCCTCACAGATCATGATTGACATAGAGCCCTTTCCTAGTCAGGCTGCATATAGGCATTGAGTCTGTGACTATTAGTGGCTTTGGCCACTGAGTGGCTCATGATTATGCAACCTAACACTATTGGAACTGAGATCTATGGCCTCTAGGAGCACAATTTGCAAATGTCCCTCCATCAAAATAGCCCTGAGTGGAGAGAAAGCAGAAAGGCTGTGGGTTGGCCGTTTCATTCTTTCACTACTCTGCTATTCTATGTCAAAGCAGAAAGTTCCCATGCTCCATAATTTGTTTTTAAAAGGATGGTATAGGAGAAGTCAGAGAGAGAGAGAAGGAGTAGGAATTCAAGCAGATAATCCAGAATTTTCTTTAAAATTATGTTATAGACAAGCTCTTGTTCAGCAAGCCAGGCACACATTACTACTATAGCTTCAAAGGACAAATGCAGGGAAAGTACAAGGTACTTTACTCACCACCACGGCACAGAGGTTGTATTTGGGATGCTTCCGGAAAACTGGACAAATGTAAGGAGTGAGGTCCAAGTTAGTGAGTGGGTAATGAATATCTGTTCTCAGTTTTCTTTTCAGTGTACCCTGGATGTCAAACCTGGAGAAATAAAAAGTATATTAAGTATAAAGTTTGTGAGGCACACATTAATGAACTCTATCTTGACAAATTCCAAAAACAGTTAAAAGTAATTTATTAGAAAGATTAGCTGGTGGGGCTGGGATTGTGGCTCAGCGGTGGAGTGCTCGCCTAGCACGGGCGGGACCTGGGTTCGATCCTCAGCACCACATAAAAATAAAGGCATTGTGTTGTGTCCATCTACACCTAAAAAATAAATGTTAAATAAAGACAAATTAGCTAGTACAGACCTGTACATAAATTTCTTCTTTCTTATCTAAATGTATTTGGAAACACATCCACAAGCCTCACCAAAAGTGAGACTGGTGTGATCCAGGAGTTGGATCCAGAGGGGAAACAGTGTATATTCAAGCTAAACTGAACCTAGTGGGGGAAAAGGACCAAAAGCAGATTCAGCATAGGGAGTGGAAATCCCACGGGAAACCTCCTGAGAACTTTGCCCCAGCAGATGTGAGTCATGCTAACCCAGGGGCTCGTCTTTTCCCTATCTTGATTTCAGCACAGGTTGTCTTGCCAGTGTCCTGATTTCAAGCTCTGAGATCCTAATATAATGTTTCAATAAGAAAATGTGGTGAAAATCTTTCACATTCTGTACTGGTATATAGATTAGAAGTTTCCAAAGCTGGGCTCATATCAGAATTACTCMAGAGCTTTAAAAAGAAAATAATCATGTACACTTCAGAAAAATGACTGAGTAAGGCCAGAAGTGAGGGGATTATTAGATAAGGCTGAGTCTTCTTGTGTCAGAAAGCAAGAAACCTTGTTCAGAAAAACTAAGGCAATACCATTTGACCCAGGAATCTCATGAGTAGATACCATCTCAAGAGAAATGAAGATTTATGTAAATCATAAAGCATAGATTTATGTAAATCATAAAGCATAAATAGCAGCTTTATTCATGATTGCCAAAAACTGGAAATAACTCAAAAGTCCACCAGCTGGTTAATGGATAAATAGCTGGGTTTTTTTTCTCCCATAAAAAATAACAATAGGGACTAGGTTGTAGTTCAGTGGTAGAGTGCTAGCCTAGTATGTGTAAGGCACCAGGTTCAATTCTCAGCAAGGTATATAAATAAGCAAAATAAACATTCATTGACAACAATTAAATATTTTTTAAAAAACTAACAATACGCAGCACTAAGAACGATCTACTAAAACATGCAACAACATGGGCTAAGCTCAAAAGCATTATGCTACATGAAAGAAGCCAGACTGAAAAGGTTACATAGAATATGACTTTTCTGAAGAAGGTAAAACTGCAGAGATGGAAATCAGATCAGCAGTTTCCAGGATTTTAGGGTGGGAGAAGTGGGTGGTGGAAAAAAACCATAAGAAAACTTCTTGGGGGTAATGGAATTAGTCTATATGTTGGTTGAGGCAGTACAGTATCTAAACATTTGTCAAAATTCATAGATAATGTACACTTAAAAAGGATACATTTTAAGTAAGTATAGCAACATAAACAGACAAATTAACTAAGGGGGTCTTAGGTACAGGCTTGAGGGGGCTCCCAAAGGCCAATTTGGAACAACACCAAAACAAGAGGAGACTTGTATGATTACACATACAAGGAACTTGAAAGTCACTTCTCTAACAATAAGTTAGAGAAAAAACTGAAAATCAACTCTTCTTAGATCTATGAGAGAAGTGATGTGGGAGAACAAACTGATATCCCCAAAATCAGGAGACAGAGACAGAGAATCACAACTTACCAGAGCAGAAACTGCTAGGCAGAAACCATGAGGGAACCAGTCTGTGATAGGAAAACTAGAGATTGGAGAAGTGCTGGAGACTCATGCAAACAAGACTGAGCCTTAAACTCTAGAGGACTCAGTCAAAGGTCTTCCACACTTGTGTGAGCTTTGCCTCCAGGCACCCCAAAAATTTCTCAGAGTAAATATCAGAGGAAAATTTCCTCCTGCCTCTGGTGGGGAGAGTCATGAAGAAGCCATTTTGAAATATACCAGGAACACTCTAATCTTAATAGGGTCTTCTCACAGGAGAAACCAGTTAACTAGAGCATAGCCTGTTAGGGTTTTTACCAACCTAACTGAGCTGTGGGGAGAGGAATACCCAACTCAGCCTGTACTGACCATGCTCTTCCCTAATGAAGAAGAAAAAAGCTGAGGTGCACTGAGTCCAGAGACACAGATGCATTAAAAAAACAAGACCTAACCGCAGGACAAGAACGATTCCCCCTCCCCAACACCTCACCACCACATTACTAAAGACCTACTTAGAGCTGTTCTTTTTGTGCAGGACATCCTATCGACTATCAGGAAAAAAAATTACAAGTCAGAGTCAAAGAGCACATTTTAAAGAACATGAGAATCAGAAATGGCAGGGTTGGGGCTGGGGTTGGGGCTCAGCGGTAGAACGCTTGCCTAGGAAGTGTGTGAGGCACTGGGTTCGATCCCCAGCACCACATTTAAAATAAATAAATAAATAAAGGTATTGTGTCCAACTATAACTAAAAAAAGGAGGAGGGGGCAGGATTTGGAATTGCCAGAACTCTGATGGATAAAGCAGACAACATGCTTTATTGCGTTAATTCAGGAGGTAAAATTGTTACATTATGAGAGCTGTAACCTAATCCATGGATTAATCCACTTGTTGGATTGATAATATATTTGGGGGGGGATGCTTGGGGATTTGAATGGAGAGCTTCATGCATACCAGGCAAGCACTTTACCACTGAGCCACATCCCCAGCTTGGTAATTTTTTTTTTTTTTTGAGTCCTGAGGATTGAACCCAGGCCCTCACATATGCCAGGTAAATGTGCTACCACTGAACCACATCCCCAGGTGGATTGATAATTTGATTAACTACTGGGTGGTAACTATAGGCAGGTGGGTGTGGTCAGAGGAAGTTGATCACTGGTGTAGTGCCTCTGGGATCATACTTGGCTCCTCAGGCTCTTACTCTGCTTCCTGGTTGCCATGAGGTGAGCAGCTTTCCTCTGTCATGGCCTGCCACCACAATGCTCTGCCTCACTTCAAGCCCAGAGCACAGGAAATCAGCCAAACACAGACTGAAACCATGAGCCCCAAAGTAAACTTTTGCTCCTCTAAGTCGTTCTTGTTTGTATGTTGGTCCCAGAGACAAAAAAACTGATAACACCTGTCTCATTGCCTCATCACCATGCCTTTCTGTTCCATCCTCACATTTACCTAACAGACAGACCAACATGCATCTGCATGTAGAATTCCCTTCTTCTTCTCTACCTGGAAAATTCCTCATTCTACTATGTTCACTCTTATTCTGCTGTTTTTCTGTAAAGTTTCTATTCCAAGTTTGTCTGAAGATTTCACTGGATATTTGAATTAGACAAATTAGATTAGAATCTTCACTGATCTAAATATATTCTATTTTGACAATCATTGCATAGCCCCCAGATTGACAAAAACATATGTCTTGCAAAACTTTTTTGACTTCTCGTGTCCTTTCATTTTTTTTTTTATCTGCCACATCAAGGCATTTGAAGAGACATGCCCCTTCACAGATAAACAAATGGTAATAAGCACATGAAGAATGGTCAACAGCATTAGTCACTAATGTTCAATGAGATACTAAGATGAGGGTCATTGTTAACAACAACAACAAAATGGAAAGTAACAAATGATGGTGAGGACGCAGAGAAATTGGAACACTGGAGATGGCCAAAGGAATGAAAGCTCGTGCAGCCACTATGGAAAACAGTTTGGCAGTTATCATAGAACCTATCAATTCCACTCCTAGACATGAACCTATAGGAACTGAGCAAGACTCAAACAGATGCTTTTCAAAAATATGACATTCATTAGGATAGTATTAAAGAAGATTAGAAAGAAATCAGGAAAACAATAAAAATTAATACAAGAAACCACATTTATCAACAAATTGATAAATAACAGCATTCTGTATTTGCAATATTATGGGCTAAATAACTAGAGTGAATTTCCAGGTAAAACAACTAAAATAGCTGGGCTGGGGATGTGGCTCAAGTGGTAGCGCGCTTGCCTGGCATGCATGCGGCCTGGGTTCGATCCTCAGCACCACATACAAACAAAGATGTTGTGTCCGCCGAAAACTAAAAAATAAATATTAAAAAATTCTCTCTCTCTCTCTCTC